TGGAGAAGTCTGTGGAGGACTGTCTGCTGGGGGGGGGACCCCAGGCTGGAGCAAGGGAAAAGCGTGAGAAGGAAGGAATGGCAGAAACAAAACATTATGAACTGACCACAACCCCCGTTCCCCATCCCCCTGCACTACTCAGGGGGAGGAGATAGAAGAGTCAGGAGTGAAGCTGAGCCCATGATGAAGGGGAGAAGTGTTTTTTAGATTTGTTCTTATTTCTCATTATCCTACTCTGATTAATTGGCAATAAATTACAAATTTCCCTAAAATGAGGTTTTTTTGCCGGTGACGGTAACTGGTAAGTGATCTCCCTGTCCTTATCTCAACCCACAAGCTTTTCATTGTATTTTTCTCCCCCTGTCCTGTTGTGAAGGGGGAGCGATAGAGCAGCTTGGTGGTCACCCAGCAGCCAGCCAAGGTCAACCCACCACATCGTTAAATGTGATATTTAGTATGTGATGTGGACACTTACGCCATTTGGGGCAAAGTTTGAGTCTCACCTATTTACTTCATGCAAGCCTTTGAATGATAATGTGGAAGAGAAATGCTTGTAGTTAGTAACCCCAAGGGTTGGGCTGGAATTAGTGGTTTTGAGAGGAAAGTCTCCACATCCCTTTACCCAAGCCCCTTACCCATCCCATCCCACTGACCTGGGCCTGGACTGGGATTGATGTCCTAGGAATGAACAAAGAGAATCCATATGCTATTCTCCTTCTCAATGGTATCACTTACTGGCAACTGGACAGACTGCATGTAGAATGCTGCTGGCATCTGAGCCACAACTGGAGAGGAGGCTGGGCTCTTCACCATGTGGGCTGTGCCTTGAACTTGTGCCAAATTCACCCCTGTGGTGAGAGGAGTAGCTTCCTGCGAGGATGCCGGAGCTGAAGACGATGACGGGGAAGCAGCATGGGCTTGGGAAACAGGCTGGACCACGGCTGGCATTCCCCGGGATGTCGGCACTGCTGCAGCAATCTGAGCCAAACCCAGCGCCTGGGCTTGGCCTGCGCCCTGCTGCCGAGTACCCACTACCTGCACTGGGATGTGTGGTGGAGGCTGCTGTGTTGCTGACATTTTGGCAGGCCCAAGCTGAGGTGGTTTGATGGGGGTAACCAGAGATTTTGACTGAATTGGAACAGGTGACTTGGTGGCCGGCTGGCAAGGACTGTCCTGCTGGAGCTGCACAGGCTGTGGCTGCGACTGCAACATCGGTTGTACCACAAGGGTCTGAGCCTGCTGCTGGTTTTGAGGTGGAGCCTGCTGCTGCGGAGGCTGAGCTTGCTGCTGCTGTTGGGTCAGAGAGGGTGCTTGCTGCTGTTGCTGTTGTTGGGCCAGCTGAAGATGGGTGGCTGTGTGGAGGAGCTGGGACTGGCGATGCTGGAACTGCTGCTGGTGATGAATGGCGATCTGCTGCTGGATCACCACTTGCTTCTGCAGGTGAATCTGCTGCTGCTGCTGGATCAGCGAGTGTGGCTGGATCTGTGTATATGTGGCTATACACAGAGTGGGGAAAGAGGAGAGCACAAAAGTTAGCAACAGCGCAGCTGGGAACACCCACACAAAAGAGGCAGGCAGCCCCTGCACTTGTTTGAGTCATTAAGCTCCAAAATGACTGACGGCTTACTGGCAGAGGACATGAGGGACTAAATCAACTTCTCTTGCTAATAGAGAGGGATAACCCCTAGAGACAAGCCTCCAGGAGCCCAGAGAGCTGGGAGGTGTTGGAAAAATCTCTCGCCACTGGGCTTTCAAATAGCGCTCTTGTGAAAGCCCAGTGGGCTCAAAGAGAAGGAACAGGTCCGCACTTACCTGAGCTGATCAATGTCTGGCTGGGTGCTGGCGTAGCCGTCCTGGTCAGGTTCATGCCCACTGTTTGCTGTCCGCCACTGTCCGTTTCGCCCTTCTTTGTGGCTGCATTCTCTGTTTCCGTCTGGCTTCCCTGGCTGACGGTCACCGCCTGGGCAGCTGCTACCGGTAACGGTTGAACCACCCCCGTTCCTTTCCTTTGACAACTGCCAGCGGCACTTGCCGAGGAGTTCTGGCTCAATCCTGTTGAGGTCTGGCTCCCACCACTTGCCACCACGCCCCCGGAGACACCATTGCTGCTTGCTGCCCCTTGGCTCAAATTGAGGGACTGGCCTGCGCTGCCGGAGGAGGTCTGAGCCACTGCCAAGGTCTGGCCCGTGCTGGTGGCCTGCGGTAAGCCCGAAGCCTGGGAGCTTCCTGGCAGAGCTGCCTTCTGAGCGGAGCCTTGGAGCTGGGCACTGGCGGCTGAGGTCTGCTGGCTCCTCACAGCCAAATTCTGCACCTAGAAACATATATACAAACCAGAAACCATTTGCTTTACGTATGTTACTTGCTGGAAGTTTGGCAGAGAACACACAGGCGACACGCTCTACCGGGATGCAGGCTAAGTTTATGCTTCAAATCTCACATGGGGAGCTGGCTAACACTGCAGGGCAAAGCTCAGGTGCAGCCCTTCCCAGGAAACACATTATCCTGAACTCCCTCCTGCCCCATCTCTGATGGAAGTTAAAGATCTCGTGGCACTTTCTGAACAGCACGTGAGGACACTGCCATTCTCCGAGGCATCGGACAGCCTTCAGACCTGCCTGCCATGCCTTTGCATCGGTAGGACCCAGTTTAGCACGGCTCTAAAAGCACCAAGATACCCCTTTAAACACCAGTTGCTCCTTTTCAATTTTTGTGCCACCTGCCTCCTCCCCCTGTGCAGGGCTTTCCACTCGACAGGCCCACAGATCGACTCGTGGCCTGCAGCCCTTCTGATTTCACCAGTTCGTCTGCATTTTGGTGCTTCCATCCACTGTATTTACTCCTCCAAATGCAGTGTTATCTTCAAGTTTGTGATCACGGCTGACTTTCCTTCAAAGAATGTGCTCCAGACAAGAAAAATATGAAGTAACTGGAAATCCCAAGAATGACTGGGATAGGGCAAGGAAAACTGGAAGCCATGGCAACTCCCTGACCAGGAGAATTACTTATAGATGAATGCAGGAGCTAAGACCTTGTGGTCTGTTTGGTCTTTGGCATCTTTACAATGACAAACCAACTAGGTGAAGGAATACTACCACCGGCAAAGACTCTTTATTGCAAAGACTCTTCATTGCAAAGACTCTTCATTGCAGAGGGACTGAAAACTGGACATAGAACTCAACAATTCTTTTCACACAAGGACAATGGAGAAACTGCAAATATGGGATTGATCCAGCCTGTGGCTCACCACAGAAATTTTAAGCAGAAATGAATCCCATCTCCGGAGGCAAAAAGCAAACATGGAAAAAACAGTGGCAAGAGAGAACAGAATCTCCTGCCTGCCCAGGGACACAGGTTGGGGATAAAATAGAGCTGATCTGCTATACAGGGATGACTGGACACAAAGACTGGAGTGTGGGATGAAGGAGAGCAGGGGAAGGAGAGGACTCTGGGAGGGGGTGTCACTAACCTGGTCTGTGTCTGCATGGACCCCAGGAGACTGAGTGGGTGGTACCTCCTGCTGGACGGCGGCCACAGCCCCGTTGGGCATCAGGATGAGTTGGGATGCAAGAGGCACATTGCGGCCCAAGGTCCGGTTTACCTGCAACAGGTTCCCCAGCTGTGGCTGTTGAGGAAGGGTGAGGTGATGTGGAATGAAAGGAATGGAGGGCAAGAGAGAGAGACAGACAGCAAACCACAAGCAAACAGATTACAAAGCAACACTGGGCTTCAATGTCACACATTGCAAAACCCCCAACCCTCCCTGCACTGTAAGATTTAACATAACCCTCAGGAGCAGGAAACTGGGAACAGTTTCCTTACGGAAATAAGCACTCTTCTATCAAACACGGGCCTGGGCCAACTCCCACAGACTGCCCAAGGCTGGCCAGAAGACTGGGGTATCATTGAATTTATAGATGTATATCTGGGACTGGTTGAGAAATAGCGATAAAAGACACACATCCAAGACCAGGTTGCTTGAAAAGAAGGGGATTGCAATCTGTATCTGAAGTCACCTGAGACACAGAAAATATTTTTCAAATAGGTAACCAAACCCCAGACTGATTATATAGTCAAGCCTAATGTTTTCTCTTTAGCAGCACTTCAAAGCGATTAAAAGGATGACATATTTGTTCATGTTGATTTATGTTTCTAGACTTACTTGAATTCTGAATTACGTCCCAGAGCTCAGCAGTGGTAGAAGAGAGTAATCTACCATATATCTGTTCCAGCATTGAACCAGAAGAGTAGCTTTATTTCTGTGAGCTATATTCAAGTCTAGGACATATATTTCACATTTACACTCTAGTGAGAAGTGCCATGGGATCTTTAACATCTATGCAGAGCAGAGACAAACATAGTTCTTAATGATCTCACCTGAGCCACACAATACAAAGCTCACCTACCCTCAAAAGCTGAGCTCAGAATCAAACTTGTGATTTCAGGGACAAGAGCTTCCCCATCTGAATTTAAAAGATAGTGCATCATCCTTAAAGCTAGAGTTAGTCCAAAGGTGTTGGTAATCCCAAGCAGTGAAACACTGAAGTGGCTAGGAAGTGGGGTTCAGAGTCAGGACACATTTTGCTCTTACCCTGAGGTACATCTGGGCCTGTGACTGGTTGAGAGGCGGTGAGGTGGTATTCCCAAGGAGCACAGACTGCGTCAGGGTTGTGGCGCTGGGGGAACTCACGCTCTGTGACCGACTGATCAGCTGAGCAGCGGATGTGGTGGCTAGGTTGATCTTAAAACAGAGAAAAGCCCCAAATCATACACAAAGAGATGGAGGCAAAGAAATAAGTACAAAGTCACTTACTGGGGTACAGCCACAACAGATATTTTACAGTTTTTTTCCTGTATCCCACGGGGGACCAAGAAGAAAAAAGTTCTTGTCTTAGAGGCTATGCAATCTAAACTACCCAAAGCCCTGAGTGCTCGCCTCATTTGTATGGTGAGCCCGAGTATCACTGTTAGCATGCAGCTGCAATAAGAGATCCAAAAGAAATACATCATTTTCTCCAGTCTCTCAGGTAAAGGAAAAAACCCTACAAAGTAACCTCTACCCTACCAACTCAACTCAACTGAACAAATCCCAGTTCCTCAATACTCACTACAGAACCAGACTTTGTCTCATCGAACAAACTACTACTCTGCCCAAGAAAAAAAGACAGCATTCCCTTTCAAGCTGCTTAGGACTCTTCCTTCTCAGAAGTCCTGATCTTTTTCTAAGCCATGACAACGTATCCCCAAAGTCTCAGCAAAGAGAGATCAGTGTCTACCTCTCCAGCTAAGAGGCCTCTCCCACTCAGAAACCTTCTCTGGTCTCCTGAACCCCAACCAATAATGACAGCACCCCAAATCCTCAAATTTGTCTACATCTTGTGCACTCCCAGCATTCTTAGAAGCTGTGTTTCCTTGGCTGACTGCCGTCCTAAAAGACAAAGAGGAGAAAGAACAAGGCGGGGGGTGGGAGAGAGGCTTTGATATATGTGTGAGGGAGCAGTTACTTACAGAGGCCTGGGTGGTGATGGTCTGTTGTGGGGTGCTGGTGTTGGGGGAGCTGGCCTGTCTACTGGCTGCAATTGTAGCCTGCAAGAGAGATTGACAGAGAAATGAGTACCTGGAACAAACATTTCAACCCAGCGAAAATATTTGCCTTTGTCAGAACACCTAGTCCCATCATCATCTTCACCCATTCCTGAGAACAGGAGCACAATCTAACCACTACAAATCTCTGCTGTGCCCTACAAATCACATGCAGCAACTCAGCGAGGTACCTCCTCTTCCACAACCTGTTCAGTCCTATACCCTACCCAAGGCAGCGGACAACAGACCCTTACAGTGCATTACCTCCAGCCCTTCCTCCCATGGGTACGAACCCTACTGTTGCCCCAGCTTGTCACGCTACACACTGCAACCCTCATCCTGATGCTGCAGCCCACTGTTAATACCCAGACGTTCCCCGCAATATTAGCGATTTGCTGGGACTAGTTAGGCAGTTTAGTAACAATGCAGTGATAGCAATCCAAGTAACAAATTTCAGGTTACAGCACATAATGTGGTTTCTGGAGGAATGTAAATATTCTTAGATTCCCCTCCCCGCCCCTACGATCCCACAGGAATTCCAGTGTACGAGTTTAGTTAGCTTTATAACTAAGATTTGTGCAAAATTGGTGAGAGGATTCTATTCCCTCTATGCTGTAAAAGTGCAGGTAGGGATTTTGAGAACAACTAAATCCTGGACTAAAAGCAAAGGAGCACAGGTACTGATGGAGATACTGTTACACAGACAAAAATGTATCCACATCACACATAATCCATCTTCAACTGATGATGAAGTCTGGTAGGTGAGCAAAATTGCTAAAGAAAAAAAATAATCACTCCATAATTGTGCATCATAAAATACCTCGATTTGTATAAACATATCTCAGTTAAAGAAACGCCCTCCTGACTTTATAAGATCTAGCGCAGATCCCTCTTGCTAGTAACTGGTAAAGAAAACATGGGCTACTAAGTTTCAAGACAGAAAATTCAGAGGATACCGCCTGAAACTTCACGCACCCAACACCATGTTTATCCTCAGCAAAGTAACAATCCATGCTTCACTTTTAATACAGTTTTTAAACACTACTGCATCCACTGCTGACTTAACCACCCATCTTTTATTTAAAGAAGGTGCAGGGGCTAGTCACAGGCCTCCGAAGTGCAAGTTTCCTGATGGGGATGCCAAATTTTATCTTCCCCTGCTCTGTACCTGAAAACCAAATGAATCTTTGCATCAGGCTTCCAGTTTACTAGCTGTTTCTATTATTTTTAAACAACGTGTTTAGAGACTCATTATCTCATCATCGATCCGGATGACCTCGGTGGACAAGTCACTGTATAAAGAGAGAATCTCTGGATCTTCCTCAGAGAACGATCCAATTCCTCTTCTTCTGCCCCTTGGCGACTCACCTGCTGGACTGCAGCCAGGCTGTGAAGTTGGGCACTATTAAGCTGCTGCTGGAGCATAAACTGGTGAAAGTACTGGGCTGCATTGGGCTGTCTCTGGAGTGCCTGCAGGGCCTAGAGAAAGAGGAAAACCCAATTGTCAAAAATAGCGTGCCCTTGAAATGTGATTTGAGAGAACAATGAAGAAATAAATAACAGCCATGAGGCTATCCCTAGACCCCACGAAAAAAGCAAAGTCACTAGATTAGCACATCAAAATACGTAGTACAGCTACAAATTTGGTAACGGACTGAGTCACAGGTGTATTCCAGGACAGTGGGAAGCACGCTTGCAAGACTTCCATAAACTATAGGAATTTGGGGACGTGCGTGCTCAAGCAGGCAGACAAAGTGTTCCAGCATAGTACGTATATGGAGGATATACACTACATAGAGGAACTGGGATGATAAACTGAATGACTTGCTCTAGAACAGCAGGCTAAAAATCAATCTACTGGATCACAGTATGGATTAAATCCAAGAGGCTGGACATGGGAGGAGTAACCCATAAAACATGAACCACAGTATCAGGCTACAGGAACTAAACATCGGGCCTAGCACAAGAATTTCTCAATCTGAAAAGATGACAGTCCTTTGAGCGTGCTCCCACCTTGACACACAACAACTCAGAGGAACACGAAAGGGCTCACCACCACCCTCCACTGATGCACATGCCATCCCAGAACATCACGGCGTCCCACCTGTACTGCCTGTCGCTCATAGAGAGACATCTGCGATATCTGAGGACGGGTGCTTCCTCCAGAACTGGAGCTGCCGCTGGCAGAGCTGGAGTTCTGCTCACTTTCGGTCTCCATGGTGACTGGATCCCAGGAGCTCAGGCCGAGACGGACTCCAGATCTACATCAAGAGAATTGGAAACTAAGTCAGGCTAGAGAAAGAACCAAACCGTATTTCACTGCATCACACAGCTTTTTTTACTGGAATATCCCAGTACCAGGCTCCTTGCACGGCTTTGCTTCATCACTGGGGGTGCCAGGGTTCTGAAATCACCCAGAAATTATACTCAAGGTTTAAATCTTTTATTACCACAGTCAGAAACATAACACACACATTCTCATATTTTTATTGCCATGTTACAGTTGGATGCTGTAGCCAGCATCCCAAACTCTTAAAAAGGCAGGCGACCGAAGGAGCCGCTGCAGCTTATTCAGACAATCATTTGGTTACAGACCTGATCACCTCTCCTTCAAGAGAGGCTAGTGAACTGAGGCGAATTGCACTGTGCTTCCAGTCTCCCGCTGCACTTTGGCAACTTCTGATCCTCTCTTCCTCCAGTCCCACAAGAAGTATAATTATCCCACAACGCCGCTGCCCTACTGCGGATATACCAACTCGGTCCCTCCTTCTCCCAGTTTAGCCCCCAGCCCTCGACTGGTTCTTTCTTTCTCTGATCACTTGGACTTCCCAGCTACTTGTTGTTCCTGACTAATCTTAACTTAAAATTTAAGACTGGAAGCTGGTCTCTCCTGGGAAGACTCAGGAGGAACCGAGTCAGAAGCAGAGTGGATGAAGGGTTCACTGGCAACACTTGTGAGGGGAAAGCTGCTAAAGAGGTTGCACAGGGCCAGGGAGATCTTCCAGCAGCAGAAAGATGAGTTGCAGTGAACAGCAGGACTGGGAAAGGACTGGAGCAGGCATTCATCAGCCGAGAGGAAGAGAAGCGAGACCGAAGAGAGTGCTTAGCAGAAGAGTAACCCATTGGGATGATCAGGGAATTTCCTGCAGCAAGAAACATGGGCTACAAAGGCAGTAACTGTAGGAGGGGTTAAGAGTCAGAAAAGGGAAAGCGCAAAAGTGGTTATTCAACAGAATTCCACTGGAAAACAAAATGACTTTTTAAAAGGATACCATTCCATGTAAGTTTTTTTTGAAAAAAAAAAAAAAAAAAGCTTCCGATAGCCTCAATATCACTGACAGCCTGTTTGTTTCCAAAACACCAGCTGGCTCCCCTGCAACATATCCAAGAGACCTCTAAATAAGACCCCTTGGCTTCCAGGATCCCAGAGCCCCAGCACAGCCCCTATATCTAGACCTTTTCAAATTCAGAGATTTTGAGCTTCACAGCCTTCACCAAACACAACTTTTTCCAGGTGCATAAACAGACCAGTGCAGCGGAAAAGGAGCTGCAACAACAGCCTCAACCAGACAACTTTTTAAATTCTGGAATGGTGTTAAGGGCAGCAGATGACTTTAAAGTGGGGCAATAGCATTAACACTGCAGAGGATGACTCGCTAAATCAGGGAACTGCTGCTCCAAACCTGCTCCTCAAAAATCTGGAAAATTTTATAATTGACAAGCAGATAGCTACTGCTCCAGTCCTGTCTTCCCCATGCATCTTTACTTCTGCCCTCAAGTCCTGCCCAGGCATCTCTCTGCGAATCCAACCCTGGCTTCCTCCACTGCTTCGGCCTCATCGGTAATTCTGCCCCGCAGACATCTTCTCCTCAAACTGAGACACATCCCCTCCTAACCGGCCACTGCTGTCTTCAGGCACAACTCTGTTACAGCTAGAAACAGTTGGTCAATAAGCCTATCTAGAATAGAAAAAAGCTCAGGAGAAGACAATTACCTTAAAGATCTTCCCCAAGGGGCAGCACCACAAAAAGTAAATGAAGCCTGAAAAGAAATAAATTGAGAAGGGAGAGAATACAGAAAGAAACTGTGGTAGATAAATGAAGTACTTCGAATGGGCTTAAAATGCAAGTCGGAGTGAAGCTACACACATTACACCAAGTCATCTAAGTAGCTCAGCTGCCATCAGGAGACAATTTCTGTTCCCTTGCCCACCCTCCACCTCTCCATGCAGGTTCCTCCCAACATTTCCCTCGTTTCTGGTGCTCACTAGATCAACTCGTTAACTTTGCAGAAAAGCTACCCTAAACATCGTTTTCTGCCAGATCAGTGCATGGAATCAGCTCCCTCGGAACGCCACAAGCGCCAGGGAGAGAGGAGAGAAGGTAACTAAGGTTCAGCTTAGCTGTAGCACATACCCTTACCCTCAAGAGCTGCGCCAGGAGGAGAAACTTGGCTTCTGACTTGGTGCTCTGCTCCACCAATCTGTGTTTCCTCGGTCAAGAGCACCATTGATTCTCAAGATTTTGAGCGTTTTTGAGAGCTGCACATTGATCTAGATCTTCTTAAAATCAGGTCCTAGCACAAACAGAATCCTACTGAAACATCTCTGGGATGAGAGGCATCAAAAAATTTTGGTTTCTGTGTCGGTAGAAGGCCTTTTGGGGGCATGGATAGAGACACGTACTCTCCTTTTGCAGAAGGGCGGTAAGAATTTTAAGTCACTCACAGCAAGCAGAGTTATCCAGCAAAACCCTTTCCAAACGCAAAAGTGAAAAGGCACAGTATTTCCCCAGCAAGTTCATCTAAGGATGCAGCTCCACGTTAGTGTAATCCGATCCAAACGCCGGCTATTCCCACACAAAATAGCACGGATTACACCCTCTTCCCTCCTCCGAGCGCATCTTCCAATACCCTTCTCTTACAAAACTCTAGCGACCGCTGAGCTATCGGATCACTTGACTCAGCTAGCTGCTCCATGAGATGGATAACCTACTAAAAATGATTAAACCACGGGTTTTCCTAAAGATTGAGTTAACCAACTCACCTTGCAAATGTAATCAGTAGTACCCAAGAAAAAAAAAAAAAAAAAAATCAAAAAACCCACACAGACTAAGAATGAGGCCGTAGCCTTTGAACAACAGCTAGAACTGAACCCCTCAAAGGCAGACAGAAGGATACAAAGGCGTATTAACATCATGGCAGGAATGACAGCACAGCAGAAAGGAAAGGAAGGAGAAGGGAGAAAACAAGCTCCCGAAGCAGTACGAGCATGAGAACATGGGCCAGCCCAGAGCCTAAGCGGCACACACCAAGAACACCACAGGCGGCCCGGCCACAAGTTCCTGACCTTTCTCAAGTGCAAGAGCAGAAGAGTCAGGCCAACCCATCTACTTGTCACCGAACGCTAGGTAGGTGGTAGAAAAGTTTTACCCGCTCACCCCATCCATTCCCCCCGGCGGAACATTTTCCTAACCTTGGAACTGCTTTTGTCATTTCATCCTTGAGAAACTTAAGTTAGGGAACAAGTAAGATTTACACAGGTTTGGGAAAGAAAAATTAGCAACCAGGACTACAGCACACTCCTCCTCCCTCCGTTCCTGTACTTTCCGACAACACAGGCTCCAAGCTGCACAAGCAGAGGCGTGAAACTCCCGGGACACGTTAGCTCTGCCCCGGGATGCTCTGGAAGCAGCAGGAGGTGAGACTTC